GAAGCAGAGTTTTCTGAAATGTAATTACCAAACATCTGATTGACACGCGACATACAGTGGAAATTAGTCAGACATTCAAAATAATCAATTCACAGAAAAAAAAACCAGGATTACTTCGGTTTCCAGAAGTCACTGCCATCAAAAGACTTCAACCCACCCTCTATGTAGAGAAGGATAGTGTGACCACTCTCTCACTACCCTGGTCACTGTAACTGTTCTGTTCATATGCTTTCGTGTCTGGTTCTGCTGCCTAACATTCCACTTAATTTTGATTTTCACTTACTCAGTTGAACTTTTTATTACGTCTCCAAATATACGAAATTGTTTGTCTATGTCACAATTTTACTTTACTATTTACTGCCACCATCTTGATCTTTCTGTCATATTATGTAAAAATGCACTCTGTTTTTCGATCTTGTATTCTATCTCCAGTCAACTTTCCTTTCTAAGCAAAATCTGAACCCCGTCTACCCCTTCCTCTTGTCTAGTTATGCTATAAATAGTCGTTTAACACTGCATAATTCGTCCACTTATATAAGTTTTTCTAATTATTTTGCTCATATTTTGGATCTATAACTTGACGTCACTGTGAGAAAAATATGTTCAGAAGTTATGTAATTTATATTTTACTATTGTCTGATTTGTATGCAGTTGACAAGAATCCACGAAATAAAACGAGCTCTTATTGTCCTGCAAATATGTTCGTTCTTTCTTTGTTCAAATTAATAAAGAGAATAGCTAGTATGAAATAAATGTATAACAAGTTGAGACATTTTACTGAATAAACTCTGAAAACCCAGAAACGGTCATCTGGTGTTCAGGTCACATCCGTCTAGCTATCAAGCACCGCTGGTTGATATGAGAGAGATACAGATCAGCAGAAAAATAAACATTTGAACACAGTAGCAGAGGAGTTGCTCAATAAGGACAAAAGGTGGGTAAGATGGTGAGTTGCTGGTAAGTTGAGTAACGATGTGATGAATTCAAATCAAATCACAGACACAGTAGACAAGCAAAATTACTCTCTTGTAAACTGAAAGAGGTTAAAACCAAATATTTCGTGATCACGGCAAGGAAAGACCGATAAATACATTTTCCGGACACATAAGTCAGGTTTCAGGCATTTCAGAGCGATTGCTTCAGCAACTTGAGGAGAATTGAACTATTTTATCTATTTATAATTTTAAAGGATTTCATGACATTCATTATAATAAAGGTTTTTGTATTTCCCAATGAATGAAAAACAAAACGATATTGTTTTTACTGACGTTTAGCTATTTAATGCTAATAGCTTTATCAAAGTATTATTAAACCGGAATTTACAAAATCTCAGCATATATATAACAAAGAGTTAAGGGGTGAGAAAATAGACTTAGGTCAAGTTAAAAGGACATATTGAAAGTCAAAATAAAAATGAAGATCACTAAACCAAATAACAAAGGTAATAGTACATCTGTTATGGTATCAAAACAAAGTTTACTAACTTGATCATCGTTCGTCAGTCTGGGGTCATTTTTCGTTGTCAAGTTGGTCAATTGGTAAAGATAACAAAACCAAGTGTAGATTGTTGGATTTGATCAGTGTTTAAAATTATAAAGGCAGTGTGTGTTTACATAGTGAACTTGCATATCACATTCGTGTTGATTTTGTCACTTCATGGGGGAGGGAGGTGTTGTAACCAGGTCAGATTCTGTTTTAGTCCATCATTCCTATTCAGACAATTTGGATTCCACTTGATATGAAGTGCTTCTGATATTAGACGTTCTTTATGATTTCTGAAGTTTTTCTGGATTATTTCAATATTGTCAAAATCAATTTTGTGACCTGATTCTATAGCGTGTAGACCTATGGCTGATGATTTTTCAAGCTTTTCTAGTTCAACCGGATTTCTCGGTGGTCGAACAGATGCTCTACGGTGTTCATTTCTTCTGATTTTGATTTCTCGAGATGTTTGTCCGATGTATATCGCATCACATTCCAAGCATTTTATTTTATAGACACAATTAGATAGAGAATCTTTAGGGATTTGGTCTTTTATATGGACAAGGTTGTTTCGTAGTGTGTCTGATGTTTTAAAGAAAACTCTAATGTCGAGCTGATTGAGTACTCTTCTGATATCATCTGACGTCTCTGCTCTATATGGAATGACGACTGTTGATGTCCATGTTTTCGGAATGCGTTTTCGGCCATACTTAATGTCTGTGTTGATTTTGTTGATGAAGTTCCTTGGGTAGTTGTTTTGTTTGAGAGTTTCAGTAATGTTTGATATTTCTTCTTCTTTTTCTTTCTCATCCGTTATCAGAGAGTGTGCTCGTCTAAGAAGACTTGAAACAACTGAAATCTTTGCGCTGATGGGGTGTGATGATTTGAAGTCTAAATATTTATTGGAGTGGGTTTTCTTCCTGAATATGGATATACTAAATGACATACTGAATGTATTTACATGGTGCATTTCTCAACGTTTGTCTGAGGACCCTTATCAACGAGATACCTGATAATGTCACTACTGTAAGTGTTTGTTCTCTTGAGATGTAGGCTTTTTGGTATATGTTCAGAAAATTGAAGGTGTGGTCTTCTGTCGCTTCTCACACTGTAACTGCTACCACAGACATATGAAAATTTGTCTACACTGAGTTACCAGGAGAAGGGTATCTGGCGACCTTTAACATTTTCAAACAGCATGTTGCCCGACAAGCACGAACCAACTTAGCTGTGGAATAGGTTCCACCTAGTCGGGTATTCAGTCCTCTGTTGACTCTCCAAAGTCGAGTTGAATTTAGATAGACGCTCCCACTTTGATTGGAATGGAAACGATTTCCCTCTGATTTAACTTTCGTATTCAGAATAAATTTATCAAAAAAACCCAACGCAGCAGCTCAATTAGAGTACTGATTCTATAAACTGCTACACTATAATTTTGCATGTCTTGTATCTAACGATTCGGGTTGAACCAATTACATCGTTGCTCATCGTCTTGTTCACGTCTTGTCTTTTATTGCCTATTTAAAGTCTCTGGGTATCAACTATATAAGCGTGATTTTTGAACACTGTTTACTAAGTTTGGAGTCTCCTGTCAACTGACATTATGCTACACTTGAAAGTATGTTGAAATTGTTTATGTACATAAACTTAATTCATTTCTTTAGGCTGTATGCAGCTGATGAGAAGCCGACTAAATACACAATACTACTAACTGATTCTGCACAAACAGTTGTTCCTGCCTTATTCAAATTTCTAATAGGGGGAAAATGTATGAAACTACTCATCTCTTTCATTTTCAGTGGTATATACTGTCATGCAATGATACATCTTATAGATCCTATCACTGAATTTCTATAAGCTAATTCTCTCTACTTTACACTTTGTTATCCTCGAGTGAGAGAAAGAAATATTTATGTGATATTAGATTGTTGGAGACAATCTACAGGAAGCCTTCCACCGAGGTTTCGTGCTAGTTGGCACTCACTAGTCAGCAAGGCGTATCTGCAACCTTGAAAGAACTCATGTTCATTCTGAGATTCGAACCCGCGTCACCCAGTGCTGCAGTCGGAGACGTTACCACTGAGCTATTCGGGCTCGCGATTGACCTCCTGTAGGACTGTTGGACTGGGTATCCGGAAATTTTATCTGTTCTTGCAACCACTTTGGCATGTGTTCTGCAGCTCTGAACTGCAGAGATCGATGGTTCCACCCTACGCGTGTGTGTGACCACGTATACATTTAGATCAGCAAACACAGTGTGATGTGACACTCTTGTTCAGAAGCTACAAAACTGTCAAACAAAGGATTCAGCCGATCCAATTACCTCTCAAAAGAATCCTTGTAGCGAAACAGAAACCGACGTTTTGTCGTGTGAACTCAGAAAACCAATCTGGGCGTTCTACTGTATAGCTGACCGAAACTTCTTTAAGATACTGGCAGTCACAAAATGCCCAAACAACAGCAGAAAGACAATTATGCAGTACTACTTAACAGTAATAACATATCAAGATCTCAAAATTACCTCAACAGTGCCATTAGCCAGATACTAAGACTAGATAAGATTCTAGTACAAAACAAGTTTTCGCTTTATTCCTTCACGTTCCCAGTGAAACATAGGGCTTCAAGCTAGAGACTTGAAGTTTCTGTAGCAGTGTTTATTTTTACAGGATGGGGTTGCTAGCCTCATGCCCAACCTTTCCTCTTTACCAGCTTCATTTCTGGCTTAGCGAGGTAAAGGAGTGCGTCGGTGGCCGGGGATCGAACCCTGAAGCATGTGCATGGTCGCTGAGCGTCCTAACCACTGTGCTACCGACGCACAAAAACGCTACTTACCTCCTATTATTAACGTTATCATTTACAATTCCCGCGTCAACAAAACAATTGGTGAAGAACAAAATTATTTAACCAAAATCCAGCCGTAATTAGTACCTAAGATTCAAAAAGAAAAATATTTCCAACAAGGTTGGATCAAAACTCTGCTCGTCAAGAATCACACGCCAACAATTGCCTCAGATAGTCCACACTGTCAGAATGATCTCGATGCACTCAAACAAAATCACATAATTGAAAACAACATCAGATTATCAATATTTTGAATGGACACTAGTCAGTAACTTGTGTGTCTAGTGTGTCTAGTCTTTTCTTTGGTGCAGACTGAATTCTATCAGTCAGGTTTGCAATGTGGCCACCATGCCACTAGGTGGCTCACTATCACAGTCCAATCGCAAAATATTTATTGTATATAATCATCTACACGCACAAAAAATTAATGATAAATTTGAATCAACCTAGAAACAGAGAAGGATTACTCATTATTATTATTATTATTATTATTATTATAGTAGTAGTAGTAGTAGTAGTAGTAGTAGTAGTAATTACAGACTAACACATTCAGAGTGCACAAATATCAAAGTTAAGCGAAAACACTGAGACAGTGGAAAAAACAAAACAAAATCAAAGCCTTATCCGCATATATATATGTGTATAAGTATTTACAAATTGTTTATAATGTGTAGGTAGGCTGAAGAGTACATGAATAACACAAGTCTTAATTAACTTTAGCCAAAGAAGTCATATAGGGGGAATGTGTTTCAACAGACAGACGAATTTGTCATATCAATGTTTATTTTCTTTTGCTCTAGTCTTCAGTGTCAAAGACTATTTATGCTTTGTTATCATGACAACAAAATCACAGGTTACACACCATATATTATTTAATTATTACTGACTAGTAGTATCTTCCAATTGTGATAATATTAATAATAATAATTATGTATAGACAGCGTATTTATACAGGCCTTATCATGCATGATATTTGATAGTGTTGACATTATAGGAAAAAATACACAATATTAGTGTTTTTATGATTAATACTTATTATTATTATTATCATTATTATCTTTGTAAAACAAACAAGCATCGAAAGGAATGTGTAACGCCATAGAGAAGAGATATTACCTAAATTGTGAAATGATGATTAAGTCTTCTGAAATAAAAAAACAACAACAAAACAAAACAAACAAACTTGTGGACACTGACTGGTACAAATATCAATAAATCATATAGGGGAGAAGACTCCTTCAAGTATATTTTTATTATTCTTTATAGTTAGTTGATAGAAGTAAATGTCTCTCTTATATTTGGAGCAGAACTGTATTCATGATTATGCCAAATAAAACAACAACGTTAGTTGGTGCAGTCCAGTCTCATATACATATGTGCTATATCGTAAACTATTCATCCATATCTTGAGTGTGTACGGGGATGTACGGGATGTTGCATAGGTGCTCTGACATCAGGGTTACGCTTAGTTCTGTAGAATAAACAATGAGAAAAAAAGGGAAACAAAATAAATAATAACGTATAATATGATATTTAAGGAAATTAGTTCTGAAATAATAGAGATTTGTAGCTCAGGTGGATGATTTGGAATTAGTTGTTTTCTCTCGAAGCTGGAGAACCATCGCAGGGAATTTAGAAACAAAAGTATATATACAAAATCAACGCACACAGACCAAATACTCAACTATAATAGTAATGACCCGATTACCCAACAAAAGAAATTGTGTGCTGACATTGTTTAAAACAGTTCAAACACACCGTAGCACTACTCCTGTGTTGAAGAGAATGGAGGAAAAATTTCACTTACTAAGCGTCTTCAAAAAGAATGGATATACTCACAATTTCATCAAAAAGTGTTTAAAATTGAGTCATAATACCAAAAGCAAGACAACATCAAAGATCACAAAATAATTTATCCTAACACATATAAAAATCTCTGAAATAACAACTTGAATATTAAGACCGTTTGAAATAGATATAGCACAAAAGGCAGTCAGCCAGCACAATCACTTCATTCGATATTGTGGGAATCAAAAAATCAAACAGCATAAGAAGACAAAATCAATACCATTTACAAAATAAACTGTGTGAACTGCAATAAACACTACATCGGTCAAAGTGGGCGTCCGTTTCGAATGTGAATCCAAGAACACAAATTGGCGGATAAAAAGACATGATATATTTTGTTACATATTAATGAATGTGGATAATTATGGACACCAATATATTTGGACCAGTGAAGAAATTTTAAATAGTGGTAACAACGACAATGCAGTCAGGGAATTCCTAGAAGCCTGGTACTCAGCTGAATCAGCCAGCAATTAACAAACACATTATTATAGACCAAATGTACAAGCTTATAAAAAGTAAATCATCACATGACAAGAAAGTTTGAATTCCAAGTCAATAAAAGTATGATTAGTAGAGACGTAAATTAACATCCAGGCAAGACGATGGCTTCCAGGAGGAGATACAATTACATCATTCATGGAGAAATTAAGTCATTTCATTTTATGCTTAAACTTGCGCTGAAGATGTTGTCCAGAAGGATGACGAAAGCTTCGCAATTAAAGCAGCCAGCTCAGAGAACGCAACTAATTCCATATTAGTTCCTTTAATGAATTCTGACAACATAATAAGAAGACACAATTGAAGGAGCAACACAATATCTCAATGAAATACTGTTAGATAAGAACTGAGATTCACGAGGTGTAATGGATGTGTCAAACGAAGAGATCTATCAATCCAATCAGCTCCCAAAACGGATGTTTATTTATCTCTGCCGTTCAAGCGTTATCAGAAAGTCTGGTCACTAAACAAAGACTCAAGGCGGCAATTAACAGAACTTCCTATACAGCCAAACTTATTTTCATAGAGAAAACGAGATGTATACTGTCCTGTAAACACTCACTCACAGCATCCTAACGCTAGTGTCACATCCCATTGTGTTTACCAATCCACATGTATGCGTGAACACACGTGCTCAGGGACGACCCATAGGTCTCTGCAGGTTAAGGCTTTAGAACATACTTCAAAGGGGCTACAACAACGAATCAAATCACTAGATACAATAGATCCCCAAAGTAGATGCTCAGCATCATCTATAGAAATGCACATCAGAGAAATGGGTCATAAGGTTGATTTTAAAAATACCTATAAGCCTATTTATAAAACAAAGTTGGGTCACATACTTAAATTTATTGAAGCCTTCACCATAAAAACGCTTAGACCTGTCTTAAATGTCCAAAAGTTATTTGTTATAACTTTCAACCTGTCTTGGTAATCCAATTTAGAAGCAAGGTTCAATTTACTTAGTGACATATCCACCCGATTCCTTCTTTTTTCTTATTTCACACCCTTAAGTCATCCTTCTTTCTCTTATTCGTGACCCTGACCTGTACGTAATTTGACTTGCGTTGTAATAATTCATGCTTTCCTGCCGGCTGTATCAAAGATGTTTTTTCTAGGCTCAGTGGAATATTGGGCGGCAGTTTATATTTTGAAACGGTGGGTACTGAGTTTGAGTTATCAACAGGCACAACGTATCCCTGAGGGACAAGTATAACCAGTTGATATTGGTCGAAGTAAAATGAAACGAACATTTTAGATCTGATTACTAGCTACCATCTTTACTATGACACTGTACATTAGTTGAGGTTAAGTAACAGAATGAAATGCAATTAAAATTTCTTTGATTATAATCATAGTTAAATATCGAGTGGTATCGTTGGTTAAGTCTCCATTTCAATCCAGATACATGTGAAGTTTCTTTCTCGGAACAAGTGATGTTTAGCTTCTCTGAATTTTTGGTTTGATATTCTTGTCGATGAATCCTGGTTGGAGGGGATTTGACGTTTATTCTGTCTAAAAGAGTTCAAGAATACTATGCCTCATAGTTATAGATGGGCAGTACTGACTCTATACCGACTGCTACAATTGAACATTTTGTCAACGCTGGTCATTCCATTTCAACAGACATCTCTTTCCGAGCAGTCTATCGGGTGAAGAATTACCTTCTAAAATCAATACACTTTCACTAAATCATTAATTCTACTACATAACTCTATTACATTTATTTAACTTCTCTTACGTTTTGACTAATTTTAACAAATGCGATTGTGACAACTCAGCAATTTTGTTACTATCATCTTTCATGGAAGAAAACTGCATATAAAAGCAATTATAAAGCTAAACAGGAAAGTAAAATAACCGAAAAGAACTCTGCTCTTTTTGATGTGGTTGTGTTCTCTGAGCTGGATAGTTTATTTGCGAAGCTTTCATCGCCCTACTAGGCAACATCTTAATCGCATACTTCAATTCGTTGAAGTGAGCTTTTAGATTTCTCCACGAGTTTAGCTTATAAGTCATCTCTCCTGGTGGGTGGTTTTGAACGTGATCGGGTGTTTTTGTGTGATTTCACACTCTCTAGGCTACTTTTGGTATTGGAACTGATTGCTTCCTTGACTTGAACTTTGAACCTTTGGGTGCGAAATATCCTTCTTATCGGTTAGTAAATTTCGTCTATTTCGATGTGTCTACTGATTGATGATTCATTCGAAGACCAGGCGGGTTTCTAAAAATTCTCAAGCATTCTTGGTGTTTCCTCTGTCTAATACTTGAACGTTGGTTGTCCCAGTCGAGTTGATGTCTGTGTTTTTCTGTATGTGGTGATATGAGTAATTGAGTGGATGTCATGTCTTTTGACGGCTAGCTTATGATCATGGATAAGGGATCATCTCATAAATAACTACAAGAGTCCTCAAATCTTTAGGAATTGACGTCACACACAAACCAACAAAATCACTTCACTCAGCTAGCTCTGTGTCACCAGGAGAGATGACTTATAAACTAAACTCGTGGAGAAATCTAAAAGCTCACTTCAACGAACTGAAGTATGCGATTAAGATGTTGCCTAGCAGGGCAATGAAAGCTTCGCAAATAAACTATCCAGGTCAGAGAACACAACCACATCAAATCATCCACCTGAGCTACAAATCTTCTTCATCATATCTAGACTCTTCTCTGACCTACATATTTTGTCTCCAGTGGACTTAAACTCTGTGGCTAGATAGTTAGAGTCCTAGGCTCCTTTCCCGATGAAGCAGTAAGTACGCTGGCTACTGGAAAGTGCCAATTTAGAAGGAAATAATTTATCCTTACTTCCTCATTTTCGATGATTAATTCTTAGTGAAATCCACTCAGAGAATATAACTTTATGCATGTGATATAACGCTTTGATTATGATAGATAAATTTCACCAATTATTTTCAGATTTGTTTGAACAGTGCAAAAACACAAATTAAAACTATATTTTGTCATGAAAAGGACATTTACCGTCAATCTAAACCATTCACTTTGGTAGACATATATATAATCTCTACACTGCATAGAAGTCTATCTATTGAAAAGGATATGATAAGCCATTTTGTTTTTGCACACATTTGCCTGATGATTATTTTTATTTTATAACATTAAATATCTTTTTCCTATGCTTTGTTTCATTGCCTTGTCATAACAGATGGTAGAGATAAGTTGAATGTGGATTGAGTAAAACAATAACAAACAATTTATCAGTAACTTAGTAGTTAGAAAATTGTAGTAGAACTAGCAGTGTGCTATCATGGGGATATTCCTTGTTTCCCATTACAGATATGAAGAGAGAGAATTTGAAAACATTTCGCTTACAAATTGCTATATTATTTACTGTTACCCTCAGCGAAGATCATTATCCAGCACTGGTATATATATATTTATTAGTATAGGCTAGTTATCTGAAAAATTAGCATTCATTTGTTATGAATGCTGAATACCTGTCATTTGGAAGATGAGAACTATATTAGGATATTCTAATTATCGGAAAGAAAATAGATTATTAAATAACATATTGAAAATTGGACTAATTGAAGATCATAGTTACTGATGTGATTAGCTTTTAACTACTCTTGTCAACTGATAGTGTATACTTTTATGCAATCATGCCTGCTGTCTTCACTCCACATTGAGGATCGAATGGCCAGAAAGAATGAATAACAAAAAATTGTGGGAACCAATCACTTTAGAACCCACTGCTCAACAAATATGTAGAAGAAAATGGAGATGGATCGGATACAGGCTAAGGAGATTGTTGAATGACACCTCATACCAGGCATTACCTTGAATGGAACCTGAATGGAACATTACGAGTTGGATGGACATGGGTCCCAGGGTGACATGGAGTAGATCGTGTAAAGGGGGAGGGCAATCGTGGTGCCGACTAAAGAAAACTTCAGAAAACACTGACAAAGTCGAGATGTACTGTTGAAGCCTAGTGTTCTAACCGGAACTTAAGGGAATTCTAATAATGTAATGATGCTTCGATTACTTCGCATTATTCTTGTTATCGAGCAGTTCATGATTTGTGATTTGAACACTTTAGTTGTCCAAGAAAACCTTGCCTAGCTTACTAGTCAGCTAATTCGCCAGTTGATCCTA